GGGGGGGCGGGGCAGAATAAAGGCAGGGGAGGGAAGGCCAGTTATCTGGTGCTCTTATGGTCTGCAAGTTTCTGAAAGATCTATGTATAAGAGGAGGAAGAGAAATGGAGGTTGTACAGACTGATGTAACCACGAGTAATGGGGTAGAGTGGGCAAGTGGTGGTGAGCCGCTGTTGGGATGACTTTTCCTCAATATATCTTGGTCAGAAACATCACGACCAAGAGGAGAGGCAGAATTCATCTCACTTGGGACCAATAAATTCAGACTGCCTGGAAAATAGGGCCATACATCTTAATGAATGTTTCTTTCTGAGCAGGAGCAAGATGAACTAATTGTCTTTGGTGCCCTCTGGTTTCCCTGGCTTGGATTCATGTTTGTTGGATTTAAGTGTCATTACAAGTAATTGGCGTTAGATATGCAGATCAGAGGAAGAAACTGGCTATGTCGCTTATTAGCTAAAGGAATGAAGTAATTAAATGTGCCAATTTAAAGGCACTTTCCTTCCATGTCCTAAGAAAACACTGAACCTGCGGATTTTTGATGTCGATCTGTTCATTTTCATTTTGCAAGTGATGTTCTCCTCTGGGGCTTTGATAAATGCTCTTGAAAATGTGTATTTAGAGAAGGGAAAGGAAAGGAGATGACCTTTGTGAGGGGTAAATTAGATAGCTTGCTTTCTCTGTTCACCCTGTGTCTGCACAAATGGGACATGGTATTATATGTTTCCTTAAAGAAAAGGAGAAAACCCAACCAACCAACCAAACAAAAGAACAACAAACCCGAACACCGATTTTTAACAAGGAGTAACAAATTTTCCAGTATCAGAATATACATCAATATACCCCGGCAGAGAAAATGGGGGAAGAAAGAATGGGTGAATTGCTCTTTTTCTAGCATCTTTTAACTAGATTAGAGTTTTGTATATTTCCTTCCATGAAGTGCTATATTTTGGAGCTAATAAGAAGAAATTGCGTCCAGGCTTTCATGCACTACTTGCAATTAAAATCATTAAAATTGGATGTGTTGTTTAAACATTAAGGGGATAATTGGGAAGTGCTTAATATTGTTACTCTTAAAGGAAATAGGGAATTAATCACTGGAGATGATAGATGGATACAGAGGAGGAGGCTCTTCGTATAAATCCCTCTAATTAGATTGCATCATTGGAGAGATTATGAAGTTGGTGTTGGGGACAGCCAGTCCCCCTGGTTATAGCTCAGCTAATGCTGAATTAACGAGAGATGGCAAGCAAAGGTCTTCTCATCCCAGCAGGCAGGACAGGGAAGCTGAGTGGAGCCATGTCTTCTGCTGTAAGGTTGTATATGAAAGGGAAGATAACCCACCATGTGCTGTCGGCAATTGCCATGGTTATAGGAGACATCAGTTATGCACGTGGAGTTTGGAATTTAAAGCCCAAATAATTGGCGTGAGGAAATTGGAGATCCAGAGATGATAATGGCAGAACTGTATGTGCCGTATATATCAAGCAGCTAGCGACAGGCCATTCCTGCCATTGAGTTTAATGTTGTTATACATCTGTTGAAGGCACAAAGTGATTGGAAAAGTGATCTCGTTAACATGTTTGCTGAATCTTATAGTGATAAAGTGCTACAGTTTATTATAGCAAGGGAAAAACACAATTTTAAATTCTCCTGGACTTAAATTGAAGCTGTAACTAATGTACAAAATCCAGTTCAGTTAATTCTGTATTAATTACTTTTTGTTTGAGTGATTCCTCTTTGAGCTCCCTGTCTCACCCCCATTTGGGAGAATGGAGGTTGCAGAAATTCATTGCTTTTTGAGCATCTGCAAGAAATATTCGAAGTGGATTGCAACAGATGAGATTAAAGGGAGATGAGCCTCACCAGTGATCCCCATCCTACTGCCAGATTTGGGTGGGGAAGAGCCATCTTCAGAACAAAAAGAGGGGCTAAGTTTTAATTGATCGTTTAAGATGACAAGCTAAGCACTAGTTATAGCCTAGAAGATTCCCTAGAAATCCCAGCAAACACCAAAATTCCTGTAGGTGGTATATATTTGAAAGTAGCAGAGCAAGATAAATTCTCATATATTAGCTTAATTTGGAAAAAAAATGTGGCACTATGTTGCAGCTTTAAATGATGAGTGATGAGTTCCAGAGCCCAAAATGGAAATGTGCTGAAATTCTTTGGGATGCAGGGGAAAGAGCGTGGTTTTGCCATGATGGGTGGCTGTGAAGTGATGCTTTTGCAGAATTCTGGCTAAATAAACCATGACAGCATAGACTAAATGCAATGAAAAATAAGGTACCACGCAGTCTCGGGTGCGTCTCAGCTGGTGAGCTCCAGCTTGTGTGTTATCTCAATATCATAACTGGACTGAGACGGAGTTGGTATGATTTGTTTGAATTTGCACAGTGAGACGAGCTGAGTCTGGAAGAGAATCACCCGAAGTCCAGGTCTGCCTCTCACCCACCGCCTGCTTCACAAAGCATGGAGAACGCACTGCAGTGCCGGAGGAATATCCTCTGGCCAAAGTGGTATTATACCGTATGAAGCAGGCTGGAGCTCTTGCTACAGCGTAATTTTCTGTTGATTGTCATTAGAAATATCAGATGGTGTCTTGCTTTCATGCTTTTTCCACCTGTAAATGTATTCACATTTTGTTCAAGAAACATCTCCTCTTCCCAGCCTCCGTGTTGGGACCTTTGGTAAAAGGACCACCATGAAGCTTGTAGCTAGAGGTTCCCAAGAGCAGCATTTTCTTACTAAAATTGCAAGAATTATGGAAAATTGCTTTTGGATAAAGTCATTCTGAACTTGTGCCCTTTTTATTGAGCTTTTGTATCTTTGTTAACTGGTCTTTGGTTTTCATTGTGTGTTTTTATGTAGCTCCCCAGAGGAATTTTGAAATTGCCTTTAAGATGTTCGATCTGAATGGTGATGGCGAGGTGGACATGGAAGAGTTTGAGCAGGCAAGTTGAACGACAGGTTGACTTCTTAATGCTATGGCATCTTAGTCGTAAGTGCAGCACTCCTCTGCCATGTTACTGTGGTTTATATTTGTGGTTAGTGCTGGATTATGTTTCTTCCTTCTGTGCTTTGCTGTGTTGCCCCAGTGCCTGCTTTTTTTTTTTTCTAACTGAATATCTCAAGACGTAATTTTTCATTCTGCCAGGACAACTGTAAGTATAAACTCCAATTTCATGTGATTTTGTCACCCCAGGTATCTTTACAAGATGTCACCTCTGAAGTAGACAAAGAATTTTTTCGCTCTACTGACGTCACAGGGTTTTGATCTTACTTTCTTCCACAGTTTTTACTGCATTCTTTAATTTTGTTTGTCTTCAGAGAATAACCAGGCGAGTTTGCTTCAAAGAAGGAATTAGCCACTTATTTCAATGTAATCTAAAAATGTGTTCATTGAGAGTGTATTTTCATTAGTTTCTTTCCCCTGCTTCTTACAAGGTTTCATCAACAGGGATTTTGATGCAGGCTTTGTAATGGGCTTAGTCTGCATGTCTGATACTGGTGAGGTCCTCCTGTAAGCTATGGTTGTGATTGTATTAGAGTGAAAATAGATTGAGGACTCAAGCTGTCAATGGGGAAAAGACCTGACCTCCCCAGGAAGAAGTGTGTGGTTTTCTTGCGTATGTAGAAAACAGCCTTAAGGCTTTGGAAACTCATAAACATCCTGAAGTTGCTGTATATTAGCAAAACTCCATGTGTGTGCTGCTCGTGACAGGAAAAGTAAATGCGTTTGCGAACAAGGGAATGGCTGGTCTGATGGGGAGTCACCGTCTCAGTTATCAAAGAACAGGGTAGAGGAGATACACCACTCAACTAATATTCATGTGGCCCCTGGCACTTCTGCCAACCCATATCCCTCAGGGATGTACATTAAGTGGGCAAGAGGAAGCTGCTGCTTCTGGGCAAAGGAACCAAGACACTCTGGTTGAAGAAGTAACCTGCCCTTGTGGGGTTTTTTTATGCTGGAGGACATTCATATTCAGAGAAGGTGAAAAGCTGTGTACTGATACCTGAGAACAAAGCAATGCTGAGTAATCTAGTTACAAATTCTTACTCATGGGTTGGTTGAATGGCTAGTTAACTTCAGAAGAGTCTCTGAGAGGTCATGCTCGGGGCTCTTGCTATAAATGGGAAGACCTAGTGGTAAAGCAGGTCTGTTAAATTAATTCCTCCCCTTCTAATCTTTTGCTGTCATCCTTCTTAAATTATTACCTGTGGGTATGATGTCATTATTATGAGTTTGCCTCAGTATTATGAGTTTGCCTCAGAGCTGTGTAATATATCTGGTTAACTGTACATTTTTAGATGCAGACTTTGGACTAGGAGGAGAATGGCATATATTTATGTCCAATATGATATCCCTTCATGTTACAGCTTGTAATGTAAACCCAGGAGTTTGGACATTTTCCTTCGAGTGGAAATTCGAATACACAGCTATGTCCTGGTTATTGTGCTGTTTGGCACTGCCTCCCTACATACTACTGATTTAGCTAGGAAAAATTCTGAGATTCCTATTTTCCCAAGTAAAAAATACTGTCCTTGCTTCTGTTTGCATAGTGCAGGAATATAGTGCTCCACTGCAGCTCTCTAATAATATTTAAGAATACAGAAGGTCTTTTACAGTAGTTACTAATGTTCTAGAGTGAAATCAATTATGGAGATAAATGAATTTAAGAAAAGTGGAGAATGGTTAACTGCCTACTAAAAATGCAGTGATACCAAGGTACTAATGCAGGTGTTGTGTTTGGCTTTTTTATTAGACAAGTAAAGTAAGAATGAATGATTCTTGAGGATGAATGTTTCGGAAGTGCTATGAAGATAAAAGTACAAAATTGAATTAAGTTATTTCAAATCGTCCGGTAGGCGAAGGGAAGTGATACGTTCATTAAGTCAGGTGAAAATCCTTAGGAAAAGGAACATATTTTTGTTAAGCTTGTTACATGTGTCACTGCCTCTATATAAAGGAATAAAATTCCTGGTAAGCATCAGAATATTTTGGTGAAGAATGATCTTCCAGACCTTTCAAGTCAGAGGATCAAGGAGCTGATTTGGAAAGGGAGAAGCAGCTGACAATACCTTTGCAGATATCACTATAACGGATTTGCTGCACTTCACAAACAGAATTAAAGCAAGCACATAGCTTCAGCGGGAGGCACATATATTATATAGCACACAGAATAATTTATATGATAAATACTTTTTCACTCCTTATGGAAATGCCTCGGTAAGAGCATATGAAGGGTGGCAGGGTTTGCAGATCTGTCCTGTAAACAGCTTATCTGGCAGGAGCACCTGGAACTCGCCCTTCCAGTGGATTACGCCACTAGAGGTGGCATCAGTTTAAAAGAGCAACATTGTTTTGGGGAGAATGGGAAGAAAAAGGAGGACAAGAAAAGGGTCCTCAAAGAAGTATTGTACTGTCCTTGCTGGCTATAAGCACATGAGAATTAATTTCATACACCTTTTTCACACATCTTTGGAGACAGTCAACGGCAGGATTCCCTTCCTACTAACGTCTGAAAAACATCAAGAGTCTTCATCAGGAAAAAAGTTACTTGCAGCTAATAAGCGAGTAAGTTGGAGGCTTTAACTACTTAATTAACAAATATTTAATTTCTTCACTGAAGAACCTCAGATTTTTTTTGCCAGTTGATGCACGTGGTTAGTGCATAGTGCTGAATAGTTTGGTGCCTGAATCAGTGTAATCTTCAACTTTTCATCCTTCAGCACGTAAACTGTTAGTTTACTCTTCTATTTTTAATTAAAAAGTCAGATGAAAAATAGTAAACTCACAAGCAGTGTTACTCATGATTTGTTTTCAAACCATTCACTATTTTAATTGATTTTTTTCCTCTTTCTTTTTTCCCCTTGTCTAGTGCAAAAGATGAAATGGATCACAAACACTTAAGCTGAAATACAAACAAAAGACAGTGAAGTATCTCTGTGCTTCACATCCTTATATGATTGATGAGCCATGGGGGAGGACATTACTGGTTGGGCTGGAGGACAACTTCTTGCAGAGGTTGCCTGATTTTCTGGGTATTAGAAGGTCTACCCAAAATAAGGACCAGCCAAATAATTTTGGCTCTAGTGCCCACAGATGGGTTTTCAAACTGTATGATGCTTGTTATAGATGGGGAGAGAAAACAAGGAGTTTAGGATACTGTATAAATAACACCTGGGAAAAGATGCTGTGTTGAACAGTCTGCATTGTGGTAAACACTCATTTCTGCACATACAGGGGCAATTTTCCAAGCTGGCCATAAACTGTATTGCTTCAGACAGTTTATAAATATTTGTTTCCAAAATGTGCATGTAGAGCTCACAGTTAAACTGGAACACAAAGCAAAGTAAGGAGTTGCTATTTACAGTGCAAAAATCCTTCCTCACATCACAGTGCATATTTAAAAAAAAAAAAAAAGCCCTGAAACCTTTTTTCTGTATTTTTTCCCTCTAACTCAACTTGATTTTCCTTGTAGTGGAAGAATAGCCAGTAGTCTGTGGTTCAGAGGCAGCATTTCAAGTGAGGTGAGCCCGACAGCGATATGCAGTGTTCTGCTCTGGAGCATCCCCTTTGGGGTTGTTCCAGTGCTCACTGTCTTGTTAGAAAAAAACAAATGAACACCCTGTATACCACAATAACGAGGTTCTGGCATCCTTTTGACTGCTGGAGCTCTTGGCAGCTGTTTTCCTTCCTCCCTTGCAACTTTTGTCTGCAGGAGGAAGAGACTGAAGGCAGAGCAGCGGTGTTTGTTTGCGCTTCAGGAAGCCTGTGCTGTCATGGCTGGGCAGCATGTCGGCTGGCTTCCCCCCCCCGCCCTTTCTCACGCTTGTTGTCCTTAATATGAATCCTTTGCCTTGTTGGAAGAGATCGGCTATTATGCAGAGAAAAACCCTGTCTTGTCGTGTCACTGCACTAGTCATTCAGATAGGCAGGTGCTGGGAAGAGGTAGTGGGATACTTGGGGATGGAGAGAGGAGGAGAGTGTCCATTTGGCTTGGCTGCCCCCTTAAATTAGCACAGGACACTTAAAATAACAAACTCTTGGATTTTTCAGGCTGTCACATCCTTCAATTTTAACCTTTTGCCTTATCATAGGGGATAGGGAAGTTGTCCTGCACATTCTTACTCTGTGGTGTAGCATCCACTCAAGCAGTGCCTTCGGGAAGGCACAAGGCACTGCCGAGAGCTCGGGGGAGGAAGAGGACGCTGTTTGCCTGTGTGGTTTGTTAAAAACATTGAGATTTTGCTGTTACAAAGTGTGCTTTCACACCTGGCTCTCTTTGTGCAAATATCCCCTGCTGGAAACTCAGATATTGCTTGTTATTATGCTGTATTACTTGTTATTCTGCTGGTGCTGCCGCTGGGGTTATATTTGGGCTGATGCAGCCTGTAGGACTTTTGGAGAGCCCTTTGCTCTGGGTGGGTCAGCCCCTGCCTGCAGGTCAGCTTGCTGCACAGCCATGGGTCAGAGGAACTCCCAGCCATAGCAGAGAGTGGGAGGCAGCAAGGCCAGGGTGCCCTTGGGTGGAAAAACCCTGGGCTTGTGCACAAGGGGAGGGGAAAGGTGATGTGAGCTGACTGGGGTTGGCGTGAGCCAACAAGGGTGGGCAGTGAAGTAGGAGTGGAAGCTTCAAAATGTGTGCAGGCTTTTTTCTTCCCTGCGGTTGCCTCTGCTTTCTGTCCTCCTGCTTTTTTGCTGGTAGCAAGCTGCTCTCTGCTGACCAGGCGTAGGATCCGCGCTAGAATGCTTATCTGCAAATTGGGTGAATTGTTTCTTAAAACTGATTTTAAGCATTTCATACTCTTCTTTCTTTAAAGAGGACTGAAAGAACCAAAGCCTGAACTTATTCAGCCAAATTTTTGAATTCTCATGTCTTTCAAGAATTATTGCAGGGGAAAAAAAAAAAAAAAGAGGATGACACAGCTGAACTTGAGTACTTTATACTGATGTTTGACTACTACAAGTCCCAGTGGTGTTTTTGATGCTAACATTCTCCTTTTCATTTTTAGGTCCAGAGCATCATTCGTTCCCAAACCAGCATGGGCATGCGCCACAGAGACCGGTCTACAACGGGGAATACCCTGAAAACTGGCTTCAACTCTGCACTGACAACATACTTCTTTGGGGCAGATCTGAAGGGGAAGTTGACCATCTCCCACTTCCTCGACTTCCAGCGTAAACTGCAGCACGATATTCTGAAGCTTGAGGTTTGCGTTATATATATGGATGGGGAGAGGGCAATGCAGCATGGACTGTGCTGCATGACATGGTTTCTGGAGGAAGAACAAGAGTATGGGATGGGTTCAGAGGGAATTAGTACAGCGGTGGCTGATAGCACTCACAGATCAAACATGTAGTTAAATTTCTGATGAGCATTTCAGTGCCTGGGCACTCCCCAGGAACATCTCCAGCTTTTGTCGGTAGCTGCTCTTGTGGAGTTGCACCAGCAGCCAGCACGTACCGGGTGTGTGTCCCTCCACGTGGTGTTTGCCTTGCCCACGCCTTGGCACTGCCAATGGAGGTGATTATGAGATGCTTTAGAAAAAAAAAACAGTAGAGGTTGTGAGTGGTCTGTTGCTACCTTACCAAGGTAGGTAAGGTCTAAAACCAAGGAAGGTTTGTCTCAGTCCTACAGAGTGAGCTGTGTCTTGAAGGACCAGGGTTTGCAACATGGCCAAAACTCTTCATCTCTGCTTTTGTCCCCACCTTCTTGTTTGCTTCACTATTCTGAATCTTTCTGCTACATAAGTGTTTAAGCCTTGTTTGAATCCTGCTAAGTAGGTGGTCTCTGTTATGTGACCTCCATTATTTACTCCTGGATTAGCGTGCTTTATAAGAAATGTTGTTCATCTCTTCCGAGTTTTTTTTACCTTTCAACTGAATTGAAGGTGTCTGTCTCTTTTCTTTGCGTTACCATGACTTATCAGCAGCCTGAATTTAAGCATCAAGCTTCAAAATTTGTTTTTTTGGAATAAAGTGAGTACAAGAACAGCAACAGAGGACTCCTTGGTCTGTCTCAGCTCCCAAGTGGAGGTCACTCAGTTCGAAACAGTGCCTTTCTCTGCAGCAGGCTCAAAGGCTCGACCTGGCTTGACCTAGAGATGAGGATTTGTGTGCAAGAAGATCCCCCCACAGCCATAACCTGTTAAGACAAAAGTATTTGGAGTTCACTGCCACTTCAGTCTAACATATGAACATGCTCAGCTTGTGTGATCCAGCTAACAAACAGCATTTATCAAGTTCTTATTAAGTCAGTCTTTGCAAACTTAACCTGAATTTATTCCCTTTTTTATTTGAAGTTTTACAAATATAAGTAAGAAACTGACCAAAAGACTATATTTTTTATGAAGGTAATTGTCCAGCTCACTGACTTAATTTAACTGATTGTTAAAGCAGGTGATGTGGCTCTGCATTTGCAGGGGGAATAGGCTGATTGAAGACAATGTTCTTTGTGAACTGGAAAGCGTCGACTCCTCAGTGCCTCTACAGATTGAAGTGAATGAAATACTTTTTAAGGTTAAGACACGTAAGCTGAAACTCGAATGCAAAGAGAAAAGAAATAGAGATTATGCTATCCTCATATGCTGTCCTGCTCTGGTTTCCCACTGCCGTGTTTGCTCCAGGGGCAGGTAACGAGGAGGCACTGAAGCATTCCTGACCCTGTACTGGAATCCGCTGCTCCCTCCATGGGTCCCCACTTGCCTCATTACAAAGCAATGGGGGTTTTTCAGTTTCATGGTATTTGTTCTTCTTTTTGTCCTACAACAGTTTATTAATTTAGTTTTTAGTGATTTCAGTCAATTTTGCGTTTTCCTGGTGAATGTTAGTTGCCTTTCTGACGTATTAGTTATTAATTGGGGACAGTACAAGATACTATGTCTTGGTAAGTTAATGACTATCATAAACACGTCGTTACTGAATTCCTTACAGCACCCTTGAGCACAGTACCGTGCTGTGATACTTGTTTTAACTGAAAAATTGACCTATGCAAACACAGTTCTTTCCTGAGTTCATGATGCTAAAGCACCTGATTTTTCTGTTCATAGTTCTCATCAGTTTAGGCAATACAGGCCTATTTCTGTTCTCAGCATTATGCAACGTGGTTTCTGTGCTCTTCCACTTTTATCTCTTTTGACGTGATCTCCCACCTTCTCTCCTTGCTTCACATTTGATGTGTTTCACGGTTAAGTGGCTTTTCACACAAGTGTCTAGTGGGTTTGCATTGCTCCGTTTCCAGGGAGTACTCTAATGAACTCAGCCCCTTAAAAAATGTGGGAATTCAGAGAAGAAGCATCCCTCAAGTATGTACCTTGACCCATGCAAGTCAGAAGAATGTGAAAAGTGGCACTAGGAAATACTGTACTACAGAACACCAGGTAACTCATGTAGCTGATCTTTAATGGCTTCACTTGTTTTATGTGTCGTGTCTGGGTGATGAGCCTGTGAGCGTAGTGATCCTTCGTCAGCCTCTTGCTTAAATGCCCACGCAGATCATCTTTGGATCCTTTTCTTCTCCTCTAGTGTTACCAGTGGACAAGAAGCAGCAGAAAAGAGCTGGTGACAGATCTGCCAGGGGCTCAGCTGAACTCTTGTACCCTCATCTGCTCATCCTTTGCTGGCTTAGCAAAATTAGTACATGGTCTGAAGCTGGGATGTTCATTTGAAAACCAGTTTTTGTTCATGTTCGATGTCTGAACTCCAGAAAAGGCTTTGCAGAAATGCGCCATGAGCAGGTCTGAAGAATATCTCTCGGGGCTGGTGCAGGCCCCAAGTGACATGGTGCCTGTGTTCTCAAACTGGGGTGCTTGCTTTCTGTCTTCCAAAAGAAATCTGCTTTAAGTAAGGCTTTAGAGCCGTTTTCCTTTCGGCTCAGGATCCAGGCCTATCTGCAGTTAATACACTTGAGAGCCAGTTTCTTCTGCTGGCTGAATGTAGAACAATAGTTTCTGACCATCTGAACCTGCTTTCCTTGTACTAATTTTGGTTCTTTTTTTCCTTACCAAAATATTCATGCATATTTCTTGTTAAGATCGAGGAGAAACTTTCTCAGAGGAATTAAATCAGACAAAGCCCTGAATATTTCAGTGTTCCTTATAGGTGAAGTGCTGACAGCATGTTTGAGTAACCATGGCCTGGTGTTTTTTTCTTCCCTCCTGCTTATTTTTTTGATGAAAGTACATTTTCTATCATTTTATGGAAACTCAGTAATCAGCTCAGTCGCCAGAAGGGAAGGATGAAAAAAGTAGCCACAGCCAGAGGGAGTGCAGAAGCTTTTATAAGCTTATTACAACTTTTTGTGATTTGACTACTTTAAGGAAGCCATGGCCTCCTTGTGGCATTGCGAGGTGGCCTGGCTTAGCTAAGGCTGAGCCACAGGAACCAGCACAACGAATGGAGCAGAGTCCTCCGTGTTTTCTTACTGCATTCACGCTGCCTTGCTTTAGCGCCTATGAAAGACTTCCTTTCTTCTTGTCTCTTAGTGTGACAAACAGTGACAAGTTAGTCTGGACAAGCTCTGCAGCTATAACATGTCCTGTTAGGACAGGCGGTATTGGGCTTGAATGGTGCTTTTTTTTTTTTTTTTTCTTGAATGAAAGTACTCTGCAGGTTAGGAAGATGGATAGGACTTGACACCATTGTTTTATGCTGTTTCTGCTTGTTAGTGTCAGTTCTAGATATTCCTGCGTCCTTGGTGGACCAAGGAGTCCCAGCCAGCCCATGGGTCTCTTCAGGCCTAAATTTTTCTATGATTCTGTAAGTGCACATAGAAAAGATGTTAGCCCTTTGTTTTTAACATTTGTGTCACCTCTGAAAGGCAACCCAAAACCTACTAATAGCAGTGATTTAATCTCCATACTTAATCTTGTTTTACTTCCCCAGGCCTCTTTTCTGCCAGCGGTGGGATATGTGCTATGGCATAAGACCTTAGCAAAGATTTTTTTTTTTCCGAATTGCCTGCAGTGAGATTTCTATAGCACATTGTTTCCCTGACAGTTACTCACAGAGGGCATTTGTTCTCAGCTGAATTGAAGCAGGTACTAATCCAGCCCTGCACCTTGTAGGTGTGGGACTCTCTTCCTGGTGGGAGGTGCCACTGCTGGAGAGGCAAGGTTGTGCTGCATGGCTTTGAGCAGCTCCATGTCTCAGTCTGGGATCTACACTTCAAGTGAAGTGAACTGGGGTCTACACTTCAAGGTGGTGAGATGCAGCTTCCCATGGAGGAGCTTGCCAGATAGGTTGAGGACTCAGATCCTTGTGCAGATGTGTATCCTGATGCTTAAACATAGGGATCTTTCCAGATCATTGTTTACTCAAGGATCAAGGATGCCTCAGTAGTGATTCCTCCCAAGCAAAAAGTCTTCCAAGTGCTGGAGGAAAGGGAAGTAAAATGGGATTCTGTGCAAATATGGCAAAGGTACCACATGTCATTGCTGCCATCCAGAAAATCACTTACTTTGTGTCTGTTCTGTGACAGGTGATGTGAGAGTAACTTCTTTACTCTGGAAACTCCTGTTTTCATGACCAATGCCAATGCAATTGCTGCTTGGTTTGTTTTTTATGAAGGAGTGATGGATGCTCTCCCATCTGCACCGATCTCGTTAGAAAGTCCGAGATCTTTTTTTGGATCTTAACCCTGTCTTAATGAATATTCTGGCTTCAGAAGGCATTTCACACTCTGGTTGTAGGGTAATAACTTGAGTCTGTAAGTGCCTTTCTGTTCTGAGTCCCAGTGCTGGGGTAGTTGGTATCTCAATAATCCTGTACCACATTTTAAAAACTACCTTGTGCTTACCAGCTTACTAAAGATTTTTTGGGTTCTGCCTTGGTTTTATATGGGCTTGCAGGCTGATACAGATTTTCAGTGAGTTGTTAACATGGGCAACAAAGTTTGCAGTAATGAGTCACGTATTCTTGTGTCTGCTGCAATGATTTAGGTGAAAGAAAGGAGAAATAAATTCTTTTGACTGGCCTGAAAAATTAAGTCTGACAATATCAGATTGGCTAAGTTTTGTAAGCAAGGGCCCAAAACTTGGACCTCTTGGAGATCAATTTGCTATTGAACTTATAGGAGACATTTTTAAGTCACCCTTATGGCAGTCTCTGTCATGGTTAGCTGTGTTGTCTCACAAAGTTGTCCTTTACCTGCTGATCTGCTCACCGTCAGCCTCGCTGTGGGCCTGGCCACCACGGGAACAATGATGTGGGA